ATATATGTTTGTAATCAGGTTAATTATTCAAAATATTGTCGTTCTAAACTTTAATTTTGATCACTCTTTGAATATTTTGCTTTTTGTATGGGAATGAGTGCAGTAACAACCGCATATATGTACTTGTTATATTAATGTAAATATGAATAGACCAAAGCATGTTAACTTTTCCTAAATCTGCTGCTGGAGACAGATTTCAGGGCATGTGTCTGGGTATCAAGTAGACCAGGAGTGGACTGTGGTGGATTAACTAATGATCAACTTGTGACAGCCAGCTGAACTGAATCAGTGTGGTGCTGATTCAGTGGGGGTCTGAGAACCCCACCTAAGCATCGTTGCCAATAGCATAAAAAGGAGAGCTGGAGAGGAGGAGGTGGTGCTGTTGGTTCTCCTTAAGGAGCTTGTCATGCTGGTTTTTCTGATATCAATTTGGCTGCTCTCATTGTCAGAGGAGCTGGGAACCTCACTGTCACTGAGAATGGTTAGGGTTCACGTTGGGGGAGCTCTGGTCCTTACTTTGAGCATTGCTTCCTGGTTCCAGTTCAGACCCCTCAGCCACTGCTGGCACAGATCCTTCATCCCACTGAGGCAGATTTTCTAGCTTCTACTACTGATCTCTGGTCCTTTTTAACATGGACCTTTGAAACACACTTGCATGAGACATTGTAATGGACTCCATGCCTCCAGCTGGAATCATAGGGGCCATTGCTATGGGCTCCAGGTCTTCAGTTGATTCATGAAGGATATTGCCATAGGATTCAGGCCCTCACTTGAATTCTTTGGGTCTCTAGTGTGTGGAGAGATCTCCCATATTCTTGTATTTGACCCTTGGGGTGAATATTATAAAATAATCCTATAAATTATGTTTCCTGTCTTAATCTTTTTCTTGAAAACCATAATTACAACATAGAGTAACATTTGCACAGAATTTTATTGACACCATGGAGGTTAATAGAATTCCTGTGAAAAACTCTGGACTGAGAAGTGAATAGGATTTGTGGGATATTAGGAAAAATATAAATCCTTTAGAGATAAGAAGAGGATATACACCTCACAAAACAGAATACTATAAATAGAAAAGATGAAAGAAAGTTGGGGATACATGAGGCCAAAAGGAGAGATCATTTCCAGAAAAGTGAAGTGATCAATAACATAAATGCTTTAGATTAGTCAAATAATTAAACAAAAATTGTTAGGAGATTTAGCAGCAAAGAGGTATTTTGCAGTCAACAAAAACCGTGGTGACAATAGAATTCAGTTGATTAGGTAGAGAAATGAGAAAAAAAGAAAGCAATAGTAGTGAATACCACAAAACATTTCAACAGGTTTGCCCAAAAATGTAGAAGACAAGAAGAATGACCTGGTGTCTATAGAGGGAATTTTTAAACATTTAAGACAAGAACTAAGAATTATTGAATGCTGGTACGAAATTAGTAGACAAAACGTTGTAGAAAGTTTTTGAAAGATAGAAATACAGGAGAACAATTTCTACATGGGTGTGAGAGACTGAGATCCATGTACACAGTGGGTTACTTGCCTCAAACTAGTGGAAAAGCTTTCATTATAATGATGTGCAAAGAGAAAATAAGTTATAGACATGTTGGAAAGTTCATTGGTTTTCCTGAGAATGAGAAGATAAGGCAGTCTGGGGAGAACAAGGATGTGGGAGGAGAAAACCAAGGGCATCTAGCATTGTAGATGATGAGGGAAAAGGTTGGGAAAGAAATATTGTGCTTTCATTCAGCACTGAGCAACTAGTAAAGTCTGAGATTATCATTTTAGAGCAGCATCCTTCATTGCCTCGTGAGAATTGGACCCAGCTTAGCGCTAAATAGTCTGTAGAAGATCACCACTTAAATTGCTCCAAAATCAGATTTTGACTTGTGGGATGGAAGAAGCGAGGGGTATTTGAAGATAAACCGGGTAAGAAAGTGGAAGATATTGACCAGTGAATGAAATATGAACCATGAACCGCAGAATAGAATGAATTATAAAAGGAAAGAGAAGAACAGAAATTAAGGGATTCTAAACAGAGAAAACAAAGAAATCAAAGGATCTTAGTGAGCATTTTAGGATCAAAAAAAGCATATTTACAGAGTTGGAAGGATGCAAGATGAATAGTTAGAGACTAAGAGGCTTGATTTTACAAGTATGAGAGTATAATCTTCCAAGTCATAAATTTGGGGTTTGTCTTATTCTGATGGGTGTAGAGGTGAACAGAGCTACCAGGGTACTGACTGGACTGCCCTTGTGAATGCTGAACCAGATCATGGCGATGGCTGCATCAGAAAGGAAGAGAAAATCTGAGAACCAGATGCATGTTCTGCAAAAAATAAGAAAGACTGGTAGATGTTGGTAAATGACAACAGAAAAGAACTGAGATAACTGTGTGCTAATGTCCCAAGTATGCATTTAGTCAGCACAAATGTTGCATGTAATTGATTTAGACTAATACTGGGGAGAAGCTACGGTCTCCTAGATTCCTTCATGTTTTCCAGTGTCTGATCTATTTACTTTGAATTCACTTGAAAGTATCATTTTGAACACAATGACACTATCTCAACAGATTAATTTCTGATCTGATGGAGACTAGTAAATAGGTCACAAGACAAAAGAAATTAAATATTGATCTCATCTTCATTATGTTAGACATGACAAAAGGGGGTTTTAAAAAAATATGAGTCCCTTTTTCGGTCCCTGAACGATTTACTTAATAGTAACAGAGATTATTGGATTAAGACAATAATTTAATGTTATCACATGGGTGCAATACAACAGGAGTGACTCGTGACACTGTAGACAGCAAGAAGCAATTGAATAATTTAGGAAATGAAGCATTATATGTGGCAAGAAATAAATGGTTAATAAAGTAGAAGGCAAAATCTTATCTTCCACTGGGCTGGTGGCATACCTTTGTAATTTCAATACCTAGGAAGGCTAATGCAGAAAGGATCATAAGTTTGAGATCACCCTGGGCAACTGAGTGATTTAATGAGACTGTCTTCATATAAACAGGTACCAATTTCCTACAATAGACGTAATCAACACATACTGCAAACATACACTAGTAAAAATTTTAAAATTAGAGTAAAAATAATAAAAAAGAAAGTGGGGATATAAACCAGGGCAAATGTTCAGTCCCCTACAAAACAAACACAAAACAAAACCAAAAACCAAAAATTATTGTCTGTAATTCTTCCTCAGACATGTTTCCCTTCTCATATCTTGGAGATACATAATTTAGTACTGTGGAGGAAGCAATGTGTGCTTCAAAAACACAGATGAAGGTTCAGGTGTGTCCATCTCCACAGTGCCCTCTACTCTCCAAGGAGACCACACAGGCTGAGAGAATGAAGGGAAGTTCCCTATGAGTTGTGTGCTTTAAATGCAGAAGTGGCTTTACTAAGGAAACTTCCTCAACTTTTGGTCTTTCCCTGGCTGAGATGGAATTTTTGATATCATTTGCAAAGGGTCCAGGGTTTGCTTATCCTACTTTTTGGCTATATTTCAGGCTTTTTAACCACTAATAGGACTGCTGGTCCCCAAGAAATACTCTGGGACCATAAGCCTACTATAGGTGTCCACGGGTAAACTTGGTTCCACAGCTGCCACTTAATGCCTATTTGCAGTCCTGTATATGTCACCTAATGGTATAATCTGGGCATGAACTAGATATATGCAGCCAGAATGAATATTTAATCTTCATGCTAACATTTCAGATATCTTCTGTTAAAAAGAACACAGACAAGACATACACGACTTACTTAGTAGCATGTTAAGAACCACTATGGTAGGTAAAATGCATGACAACCGTTTTCAGTAATTACTATGACACTGAATAGTAAAAGCTTCATTTCTTCATCTCTGACATGGGAATAACAGAATAACTGATACATTAGTGTTCTGAAGAGTGACTGAGATATGTCCATTCCCTGACATCCAGCAAGAAGATACATCGAAGCAATAGCAATTATTATTTTGTAAAGTAACACAGGTAGTTGACAAAATAAGCACGGACCATTGATTTAAATTCCAAGCTATGTGATGGCAGTAAAACATCTGCGTCTGTTTATGCCATTGAGAAATTAAAGCCATCGCACAGGTACTGTGTGTCGTTGTAATGATTAAATTAAATGAGAAAGTGACAGGCTTTTAGGAAGCATGGAAGAAAGATCAAGCTACCTTTCACTTTTATATTTCCTTCATTTATTTTGCATAACCGGGACAGTGTTGTAAAGAGAGTCATTATATGTCAGAGTCCACTGTCCTCACCTTCAATATCTGAAAGAAGAGGTTTAATTATCTCTAAGACAAATTAACCTGTGTGTGTTTACGAGCGTTGCAGAGGCATAGTAAAAAAATCAGGTGAATTAAGTAATCCTGGAAGAACTAAAAAACACCATCTGATTTACAGAGCTGTGGATATTTTATATTACCAAAACAAGTAAATGAAGGAATGTCTTAGAGTGTAAAATTTTTATTTCCTCTTTACCCAGACTTAGTAAAAGACATTTCTTTGATTTATTTGATATTTTGCTTCTTAATATCTTGCAGAATTATTTTTTCCATGCTTTCTCCAAATTGGAATAAGTATTCCAGAAAGTTAATTCTGATTCTGGTGTCACTAATGAGTAATTTAGCCTGTTAGTGTGGAAATGGAAGAAAATCTCTTTAAAGATCAAAATAAAACTTACAAATCCATCATTTAAAAAGCCTTGATTTTCTGCTTCAAAACATGACTGAGTTCCACTAAAGAATGCAATTGGGAATTTATTTTCTGTCACCTTTAAAGTTAACAGAGGGATTTTAAAAATACAAAAATGTTTTCTGACAAGCAAACAGACAAGACTGCAGGGCAAGAGATTGAAAAGGGAAAAAAAAATCTTGAAAAAGCTGAGCTTCCAATCTCCTCCCACTGGTCTCTGTGAAAGATGACTTCAGTCCTTTTCTTAACTAATTCTGTCACTGTAAAATCCTACAGTCATTCTTCCACACATAAAGGACAAATAAGCTCAAGAGGAGGATCTAGAAGCTTTCAGTTTTAACTATTCACCAATAGTAGAAAAGGCACAATGCCTAAGCTATGGCTTTGTGGCCAATGGGGTAGCTGTGTATGTCTCACATGACTCGCTGCCCCTGTCTTTCACATGGGCTGTAATTTAGTTCAATTCAGAACTGCAGATAGTACGGCTTCCACAGGAGCAAGGGATGCCTGAGCACAAGTGGCTGAGTTCCTAGTGACTTTCCGAAGGACTTCTCCACCTTCTTGCAGCAAGAAAACAGGGATTCTGCACCTGCACCAGGGACAGGCTGCTAAAAGCCTCTGCTCTGCCTCCGGGGACAAGGAACTAGAGCAAATAACCATGTTGAAATTGTAAGTATACGATTCTTTCACTCAAGTGTACTGATTAAAATAGTTTTCTGTCATAAGCATCAAATATCTGAAGATTTGTTAGGGTCCTCTTTTATGTGTACATCGAAAGGGAAATGTTGACAAGAAAATTATCCAGGGGCAAAATGGTATGCTGTACTATGTTAGAGATAAAGAATTAAAAATAAAAGTCTGGGATTCCAAAGAGTAGCTGCAGGAGGCTGCACACCGGAGCATTGCGCCAGTGGGCTGCTTTGTTCATAAGAAAAAAAGAAAGCACATACATATGTACTTAGTTCACTTCTTTTTGCTCTTTATGTCTAATCAGATTTGATCTGTCCCCAGGAAAAATAAAAGACAAACTTTGCTGACTCCACTGACAAGGGCACCATAGACTTTCCAGACATCTGACAGTTATTATAATTAGCTATGAAAGACTGCTAAGACACTTGGAGGCAAATAGCTCTTAAAATTTGAACAATGGCTTCAAGCCAGGGCTTTCCTTTTATTTATTTTCTAACCACAAGTTTTAATTTTAGAATCATGATATAGACTGTACTGCTTTCGGGCTTTTCATATACAAAATGTGAAATGAAGTCCCAGCACAAGTAAAGGCGACCGAAAGTGACCAGTGTAAAGATACAAGGAAAAGACAGCTCTCTCTGTCTTAGGATTCAGCCTTCCATGTATAAAGATTTTTTTTTTTAAATTCCTAATAGGGTGGAGTGAAGATGTGGGGGTGGGGAGGAAGCATGCGGAAGCATTATAGAAGAATGCTTGAAGAATAAAATAATTTGGAATTTCTTCCTGCCAAAGATACGGTTAGCATCTAAGTTGCATTCATGGTAAGATTTTTTTGATGGAGTTTCAAACAGAAGCAATATACAAAAGAGCATTTTTTATATTTATGCAATAATTGGAAACAAATGGAGAATGTTCCTGTATTACTGCTTTCTTTTTATATTCAGCTAGAGTAATCTAGCAATGCATTATGCCTGCACTTCTAGAATCATCCAAATCCTTAAAAAGTTATAAGCTAAGTCTCATAAGAAATTAAAAGGCAAATCAAATCAACGTGATTATGAGTGCTGAAGATTTTAAATGACAAAGCCTCCAACGCAAAGAGAGTTTATAAGAACACTCTACCCTCCCCATTTTTAAAAGAGAATATTAACTCCATCAATTATTGAAAGGAATTATTCAAAGGCTCCAGACCTAACTAATTATGGCTTAGAGAACTGCCAGAGCAGAGCCTGTGTTCTAATTATAAAAGTCCAAGACACTCAAAATCATTTTTTTAAGGAAGACTCGGACACGAATTTTTGTATAATCTTTTTAAAATTCACCATTTTTTTTCTTTGTCTGCTCTCATGTTATCTACACCTCCCCCACCGCCGCCCACTGTGTGCTGAGACACCTGAAGGCTAGACATAATGATCAACAGAGCTCCAGCCTGTCTGGACTCCAGCCAGGTTCCCCCCCCACCCTTCTACAATCAAGGAGCTTGCACGCAATGCATGCCGAGCCTATTCCACTGCTATGTGCAGATCCGGGATGGAAGTCTTACACATACTGCGGAAAGATTAAAGACAACAATATCCCCTTTCTCTTACCCTAGACAGACTCAATTTTTAACCCTTTCACTGCCTTTAAATCCAAAGAATTTTAGCCACTCAAAAGCAGGTCTCAGGGGACCCTGTAACTCCTGCACTGTATTATATAGAAGCACATGCCTCATTTGGTGTAGAAATCTCATCTCGACAGATCTTGTCAGGGTATTTTAGGATTAGCAATGTGTTAAAGAAACAAAACATAATTTGCCTCTGTGGGCAATGCATTTTTGCAGGAACTTAACCTCTGTGAAACCTGAAAAAGTCAAAAGTCTGTGGAAAGGTTCTTGCAAACCTTGCAGAAGGTTATGTGCCATTTCTGATGATGCTATTCTTCAAGCGTCTCTCTGTTTCTCTCATTCTCTCTGTTTTGTGCACACTCAAGACATATACTTCAACCAGGAAAGTACATCATTATATCACAGAAGAACTCAGGTAGCTGGTGATGTCATTACAGATAGAATTTCGCCTTTGTGGGCAATTTTCAATCACCTAATTACCAATGTCGGTTGGGTGTGTGCCCAAAGGAAGTTCATGTGTTTGTGGGGTTAACCGACACCCACAGGAAAAGGACTATTTTATTTGTAGTTCTCCCCCTCAGTCTTTCTGTCTTTCTCTCTATGCCTGTCTTTCTCTCTCTCTCTCTCTCTCTCTCTGATGTGTTTAGATAGCAGTAAGGTTATATTTAAGAAGATATATGTAGTCAGGCGGAGTTCTCTGGCTTTAGGAACCTTATTAATATGCTGGTTGAACATTTCAGAGGTGACTGCATTTCAATATGAATAGGTTGTAGAGATGTTAAGCATTCTGCAAACATTTGGATAAAAATGATACAATAATATTTCTTATGACGGTGTCTTACTGTTTAAAATTTTGAAACTGCCCAATTATTTTTACTATGAGCTTATTTTTTGAACAAAGCATAATTTTATATGAATGACTTAGAAGTAATGCTCATTTCTTATGGTTTTACTGAGGTATATCTCTGGGTTAAATGATGGTTGTGGACTGGTTCAGTGTGTTTATTTATCAAGTCTGTTTGATGGGCCTTACCGTAAAAAGTCACTCACCAAAAAAGTGTTTAGGTGTTCCATTAATGTGTATATTTAAGTATATTTCTTTCTTAATAATATAGTTTAATACATTTGCAGAAACATATTGCTGAAATTGAGATATAAATATAGAACAAGAATATTTACATACCGTCTTTAACTATAAAGTTTTGCTATGTAATGTAAATTAATCTCATTAATATAGAATGATTGGGTATACTTAACAGCTCTTATATACCAAGTATTTGATATTTAATTTTTTATGTTTTTGAATTTGTTCTCAATACTACTTTATTCTTTCAGACTAAAAAAAATTCTCAAAAAATTCAAAATATAGTCATGAAAATAAGATTTACTTTGCTGCAATATTATGCAATTATTTTTAAACAAGGGACTTTTATCTTATTTTCTTTCATGTTACTTTTCTTGAGAAAAAATATAGCTTAAAGAATTGACACATTTTATACTTAGGAAAAACAAGCTGTACCAGTTAGGTGGCGTTCTGTAGAGTTACACTTTACTGTGAACTAATAAATAACTTTTGTTAGAAATTCTGTTTCCTGGTTTTATAGTTTGTACATACCATTTCTTGCAGCAAATAGTGGGGTCTGGCCTGGTGATGAATTTTACAATTTCTTTACCAAATTGAAAAATAAATAAATCGCTGAATTTAATCTTTACCTACTTTCTAGCAACAATCTATGACTTTGCCCACTGGGGATACAGGTCACTAAAAAGGCACCTTTCAAAGACAAGAAGATAATGGACTTGATTGAAACAGTTGAACTATGTAACGCCAATTCAAGAACAAATGGTTTTTCAGAGCATAACGGAGAAAGAACAATTTACTATAGTACAGTTTATTCTCTTTACACAATGGTAATGATTTATTTGAAATACCAGAACAAACAGTAGATGTGTACCAAAACAACCAATGGCTCTCTTATGTCAGGGGTATTTCAAGATTCTTGTGTTTCATACGTTATTCTTACTCCAGTTTTTTAACTGAAGACTTAGCTAAACCAATACCCTAGTATAGGTTGATTATCGTGACCATCTTTGTCGTATACATGCATATATTGTATTCTATATAATATATTTGAAAATGGTCTTATGACCAAAAATAATTGTTGGTAATATATTATAAGAGGTTTTCAAATCTTTTAGAATATTAACATATTTTAATATAATGACTTTTAGATGACGATATTAACTCACAATGTATAAACTAGCAGAGGGATGCTCTCAAGATTTTGGACAAATTAATGTATGTGGGGCACTAATTATAGTGCCTCACATCAAAAACATTTTAAACATATCCAAGTATATGATTTACTTGTCAAGCAGTATAAAATATTATTACAGAAAACACTGCTATGCTTCTTACCACTAAGAACCTGGTTTCTAAAAGTAGGCTCAACACGCATAATCTCTCTTTATGCAAAGACAGACTGATGTTTTTAGACCTCAGCCTTTAGGCACAGGGCCTGACTTTATTGTGGACAGATGCCTGAGCACTGTGCACGGAAGGCACAGGACCCTCAAGTTGCACTAAGAAAAGAAGGAAAACTGGTCTGGCTGCTTTAATGCTTCAAATTTTATTCTTTCAACTCTACATATACACAACACTCAAAATCAATTTGTGTGAAAACTATCAAAGTTATTTTTACAAATTTCCAGAGCCAGGGTTCTGTAGATGCAAGGGAAGGGAAGGAGTTCTGAAAATGATTGAATGTCCCACTGCCTGAATCCAAGTGAGGCTCAGTCAGGCTCTGGGGTCAAATGGGCTCATGAATCACAGATAGGAAATGAACTGTGTATTGCATATTTGGAGATTTAAAAAGAAACATTTGGGATATTTTACCATAAACAGATTTTTGGGTTGATTTTTGGCACATCTTTTAAAACATCAAGACTGCAATTCAGCTGAAATAACTTTTTATATGTATAGCTACGACCAGATGGCCACGTGCTCCTTTCTTATTTAGATGAGACTTTTCCTTTCAATAACATCTTTCTTCCTGACCTGTTTAAAAATTCCAGCGAATGAAATCAGCACAGGATTTTCAATTCTAATTGACCATGTGCAGAGGAAGGGCCAGTGGAGAAATCAGTAGAGGCATTGTGAGACTCACTGCCTGAGTTTTGTCTTTGTGTTTTATCTTTACTAGCTAATCTAAACTAATTGAAAATATTTGATTTTTGTTCATATTAATATAGCAGCAAGATTTGTCCTCAGTGAAAATTATTTGGGTGCATTGTTTCTAGCATTTCCTCACAAAAAATAAAAAGTTACACATTGATACAGTTGCAAATTTCTAGTAAACTGTTTATTGGTTGA